GCTGGGGGAGCGGGGAGCCTGCCCCTTCCTCTCCTCTGCGGGGAGCTGCTTGCACGTGGTCGCCTGCTGCCGGCCCGGTGTGTGCTGCGTCCCGGCGCCTTGCCGGGCTTTGCTGGGCCCGGGGCGAAGCCAGGCCTGCTCCTTAGGTGGGGGATGGGGACTCCCCGGAAGCCAAGTATTTCCGAGGGAGGAGGCCTCGATGCCCGTGCACCTCCAGGCCTGTAAACGAGTCCGGTGTTAAGAGTAGCCTCAGACGCTGCCCCGTGTGTTGGTTTTCCTCCCCCTGTGGCCTTTGTTTTGTTCCAAACGGGTTTTCCCCCTTGTGTTGCTGTGTGAAAGGTCCACAGGGATCTTGTCTTCCCACAGGGAAGTGGAACTGACCACACTGTGGGTGCTGAAATGCACAAAGCACACTGGAAAATAATCGTTTAATACCTCTACTCGTAAAGCTGTCTTAGTCTTTAGCCGTGTTAGTCTGAATCTGCAAAAGCGACGAGGAGTCCTGTGGCACCTTTAGTCTTAGGTGCTGCTTGTGATCATTGGAGATTCCAGATGGCAGACAGGAGTGTAATATGTATCTTATCCCTTTAATTTAGGGGGAAGCTGCTGCCCCCTTTCTCTTATCTACCTCTAGAAATGGGTGTCCACAGTACAGATTAGCCCTGATTTTAGCTTTGGCATCAGCCTCTGATGCAGCTGTACAGAAGTAATTCCCTGGGGTGGATAAGGCAAACCCTTACCCTCACTGGCTTACCTCAGTGTGAAGCAAATGGTGAACTCCGCTGATGAAAATAATAGCCTTGCTTGCTTTTGTTAGGTGTTTGTCATACTGATGCGTGTGATCTGTATCCAGTCTTTCAAAGTGATGCCTAACATTAAACCTAACTTATTTTAATTTTTTTAAACAAAGCCCTGATTTATTCTTTCCTTCCTGTCAGCACTTCCAAGCAAGAGCTGTGATATTCTCATCAGGACTCGGGGACTTAGGAGAACAGAGAGCACTGAATAAAGTCAGGAGAGCTGGGTTCTTCCTCTCTCTGCCACTAGTGGGGGTGCTCTGGAATAAGTCCCTTCACCTTTCCTTGTTTTAATTTCTCCATGCATTACCTGGCAAGAACATTTGCGTCCTCTGTAAAGTGCTTGGAGATCTGCTAATGAGCTGGCATTATTAGTGATCTTATTCATCCTCAGAAGCGGGAATGGAGTAAAATGCACAGGGAACCAGGACTGAAGTTAATTTGTCCTTGCAAGTGCCAAGGACCTGTGCAATTTCAGCACGACACTCAAGTCAGGTGCCTGCAGAGCCAAGCAAAGCTAGTATGTCAGTTTTCAAGCAGCTCCAAGTCTCCCCTAAACTTAGATAGTAACTTGCATTAAAAAAATCAATGTAGGCTAATAATTTCTACCCCAAATTACTTCCTTAAACCTTTGTAAGTCAGTGTGGCATGGATGGAAATGTCCAAGTCGGCCTAAAAGGACATACAAAAAAGCTGGACTGCTCTCTTTGTTTCAAGAGGAAAGAAATGTCTTTTAAAATTAAACCCCTAAATAACTAGAGCTTTCAGTGAATAGCTAGGGTTTTCAGTGAATAGTTGGCTTGATTTAGTGGACTGGCCCATGCGTTGGAGAACCTGGAACACCCAAGTTTTTATTTTGGGTCTGACTTGAAGTCTGTGGCTTTGAGCAAGTTGCAGTATTATTAAAATGTGGATAATCCCATGAGTGTAGAGAAGGCTGGGAGGGTGGGGGAGGGAGACCTGGTTAATCAGTGTTTGTAAGGCCAGTGAAAGTTGGCTAGTTAGTATAAGAGGATACACACAACCTCAGAATTGTGGGGCACAGAAACACAGGCAGTTAATGCTGTTCCTTTGAGCTGAAGTACTGCAGGTTCGAAGTGCAGATCCTGTTTTGCATGTGGCATTGTCTTAATTTGTGTTGCTGTTTTGTTCATAGACTCGAAGTGAAGTGGATCTAGCGCCACCATGTTTCTTTACAATTTAACATTGCAGCGAGCCACCGGCATCAGCTATGCCATCCATGGCAATTTCTCAGGTAAGGTCCTCTCAGTTCTAAGTTAATTAGCTACGGCTTTAGTTTTTCATTGGGGGTCTGCTCCTATTAGTGTTGCTAACTGGGTTGACTGAGAGGTTGCAAATTGAGGGAAAAGACTGGTCTGGAGAGAGCACAGAACTAGGAACTTACAAGTTCAGGTCCTGATTTTTTCACTGAGTTTGTGGGATCTTAAATGCAATGCTTGAACACTCAGGAGGTTGAGAGACTTGTTTTGGTGATTAATGCTTGAAAGGCCTTTTGAATTTCCTGGTTCTTACTAGGATGTTAAGGATTAGTTGCTTCCTTCCCCCCCCCCCTTCCGCTGCCTCTATCAGATAGAGGCAGTAGGGGGAGGAAGGTGGGGGGTACTTCAAAGTGGCAGCGCCTCACAGAGCCCTTGGTCCTGGGCTCTGTACGGCACTGCCGTTGCCTTATCGACTAATCAAGTAGTTGATGCAAAAATGCATCGACTATTCAATTAGTGAATTACTCAATACTTAACATCCTTAATTCTTACAGCTCCTAGCTTTAAGTCAGTGATAAGTTTCTTATGGCTTTGGCTTCTTAGGAACCAAACAACAGGAAATTGTTGTTTCCCGGGGGAAGATCCTGGAGTTGCTCCGTCCCGATCCCAACACAGGGAAAGTACACACCTTGCTGACAGTGGAAGTGTTTGGAGTCATTCGCTCCCTCATGGCCTTCAGACTGACAGGTGGAACCAAAGACTATATTGTTGTGGGGAGTGATTCAGGTCGCATTGTTATCCTGGAGTACCAGCCCTCCAAGAACATGTTTGAGAAGTGTCA